CCTACTTAACAAAGACAAACTTCACCCCATCATTGACTGCGACTTCCAGTTCACAGGAAAATGGAGCTCAAACAGATCAATTCCCCTGATCCGAGCCTGGATTGTATCGCCAAAAGAGACAGACACAAGAGCTAGCAGGAGCCACCACGAAATATGAAGTTCCATGGTAATTAGGTAGTGGAAGAAGAATGGGATGGTGCTGAGGATCCAAATAGGAGAGCCCCTTAGCCCCCTTTTACGGCAAGCCACAGGGGCTGATTCGGAATAATCAATTTCTCCAGGATTCCGCCAGTAGTAGTCTACTCCGTAGACTGGTAATGGTTTGGACTTGGGTCAATCCATGGGGGTCTAGATCAAAACTATAAATCTATGGTTTAGATTATGGGATACCCATTTTATTCATAAAAGTGGCGCAGAGAGATTCATGTCCTATTCCCACCTTTCTAATAATCTGATCCCCTCGACCCCTCATTTAACATTTTTAAACCGAAAGTTGCCACCAGACCTCCATGTTCAATGATATATATATGATATATATAATATCAGATAGCTAACGCCTAGGGCTATCTGCCTACATAAATATATATCTTATCGCCTAGTAGATCAAGCCATATCAGCTTATCAGTATTTCGTAGGGCTAGGGTTAGAATGTTAGATAAAGGTTTTAGGCCCCTGATCCATGATTTTGTATGGGTAAGCCAGTCTAATTTTAGATACATGCCAATATGTGTTACTGGTTATACAGTTATACTAACTATTGCCTGAGAGCATAGCTGCATGCCTATGAAATATGATAGCAGTATCACTGCTGTAATGCCTTAAGTGCTAATTACAGGCTTCTCATGGATCAAGGATCCTTATACCTGTTAACTCAGCTCCCTCCATACATCAACACCTATGCCGCAGAGCTCTACAGTATTAGATTGATGCTGGATACTACTACCGCATGCCCATTAATAGGGTGGAAGCAGCAGCTCACTATTTTCATGAATGGCTAGACAGTAATCTATGCCTGTAGGGAGTTGCATGGCCTATCTGGGTAACATTACATGTGCTCAATGATGATACTGCTTGACCGGCTTCGCGCTAGCAGGTGGTAGGATATACACATCCAGCGGGATCCCAGACATAAGGGAGTCCATAACGAAGCCGTGGGCAAACTGGCAAAGGGAGCAGCGAGAAGTGGCGATTATGGCGGATGGGCAGGCATGTGTTTCATGCCTCACTCTATCGCCGGTCTTCCGCGCTCTTACACGAGGAATGGCACCAGTTCTGGACAGGATACTACCACCGCTCCCTTAATACAGAAATCTTTCCACAGCCCCAAGCTAATCATACCGTACTCAAGCTCCAAATCCGGTATCAACGTGCGGCCAGCTTAGTAGTCATTAAGATGCAGACCGGTAAGATAGTGCTTGGGGACCGTCCTGGCCAGGCTCAGCGCAATTTCTATTATGATATGCTTTGTGGCCGACAATAAAACATTTAACAGGATGCTGAGGAATCCTAACTGTTAAGGGTATCTATATATATATAGGAACTAGGCCAGATTTGACCATGGGGTCAAATCTGAGTAGGTCTTTTGCCTCAGTGGTAATTGGATAGCCCAGTATCTAGTTATTACACTAACTTATGAGACTATATTCTGTTTTTTTTTTTGAACAATGGAACAATGGGTTTTCAGGAACTTGGAATAGTGTACTCAGTTGACTTAGTTGGGAGAAACTGATGGTTCCTATCTCTACGATATTTTAAGGAAGTGCTAGATTTTCAAGCCTGCCGGAGATGGCTTCTCGAAACATGTCTTAGACGAATGACTAACAAAATCAACTTCGACGAACCCATGGACATGGTTGTTGACAGTTGAGGGTAATCATGAAGAACTTCAGCAGCTACGAATCAGGTCAAATTGCCTAGTCAATCTGTGTCTTCAAAGTCAGGTACTTACTAAACAGAAATCGCAGTAATCATCATTCTTGTGCCTTTCAGTTATCGAGCCCATTGGCGATTCTCATAAGGGCAATTTGGATCTCCTGTTTGATTTTTTCAAGGAACTCAGCCACTTGGCTATCATCATGGTATGTTTCGTTATATGCCGCTCGAATAGATAATCTTCCATCAAAGGTCTGAATCCCAAGATAAACCCTTTCGTCAAGTGGAAGGGCAACCATCCAAATTTCACGGGTCTTGAAAGATCCGTAAATACCCAACAGCATACTAGATATGTCACCGATGAAGCTTGGTAGGATCCCCTGGTATGAAGCTCGAATACCCACCACTGATGTTAATTGGTGGAGGCGGGGAACCATTGCAGCAACAACAGCTTCTTTCTGATTGGCAATTAAGCTATACTCGGGCTTCAATCTGGCCGCTGTTTGATAAACATTGTCCTCAATTTGCACCTGCACAGGCCAGAAACCAATCCGAAGCATCGAAGCTCTGGATTCTGCGTTTGGAGGACCACCATGGCAGACTTTTTGGAGGTTGAAGATTATATTTGTCGAGTGTTTCGTGCCCGGGGAGCAAGGGGTCATCTTTGTTCCAGCATGTATAATTGCGGCATGCAAAAAGGCAGTAAGCTTAAGACCGGAATCTTTCGTGATAGCGAGGATTTCCTTAGTTTGCTGTTGAGAAAACTTGAGAAATTGTGCCCTGCCGGGCCCAGGATCGGACTCGGAGTTCTTGGAGGGAATTATGACAGCCTCCTCATGTGGCTGTAGTCTTGGCCTTGAGAAGGTGGATGTTCCATGGGGTGAAAAGGCTGAAATACACTCGAATATACCGCAGGGGAGACATTGGGCCTCTTTGTCCAATGGCTCTCTGATAATTTCACTCTCTGACTCAAGTCGTGCCATCTCATTCAAGAAATCCCGGAAAAACATGGCGACGCCGTGCCCATCGGTTAACATATGGTTGGATCGGAGGATAAATCTATTCTCTTTAGGGAAATGGTAGAGTGTTGCCTGCTCGGTGGCTGGTGCGCCAGCAAAGCTTTGAAAGTCCTCATCACCCATGCTCGAGTCGGACTCTTGCACGATGAAGGTTTTGTTGGCCCATTCATCAACTTCAAGTTGATTATGGGGGGGACAGTATGTGAATCCTCTTAAGTCTGCTGTAACAGTAAGAGCAGGGTGCATATAACGCATTTGTATCCATGCCCTTTTGGCTAAGGCGACAACTTCCTCTGGCGCTTTGTCTGTTTCAAGACGCATGATGAAACATGCATCCAAACTCCGGATATTTGGACGATCCGGATGACGGCAAATAGAGTTGAACCAGCTCTCAAATTCATCAAATGGCCGATAGTAATAGCCATTGTAAATCTGATGCCACCCTCGTGGCTCCGATGAACATGTATCACACCGAGTCTCCACCAATGATTGAGGATATTGTCTCGTTAACATCTTTCTAAGCTCCTCGCAGTAAATGAATCGGGTGGTGAATTGGATTGGAATTGAATGTTAAGTTGAATTTTTTCCTAACCCTTTGAATAGTTGAGTAGCTGATGAGTGAGGAAGGTATTGTGAAGTGGGCAATTGTTAGGTTTTATAATTTGAGAGGTGATACTGTCCATGATCACCACACACACACCATATGAGATAATCATGAAGGCTAATGATAGGATCATTGCTAGGACAGCTGTTAAGTGGACTCAAAAATAATATCTGAAGCATGACTTCAGGCGGATCTTCATAAACCTACTTCCACATGAACTCAGCTTAGAGGACAATCTTACAGAGGGTTAATGTTATTATTACTACACTGTGATAGACTGCACATGTTGAGCAGGTGTTTAGAATTAACTTTTTTGATCTCCTAGAAACCTGGATGTAAGGAAAGTTCAGTATATAATGGCTTTCTGTGCAACTCATTACTAGGACAGTTGCCTCTTCATCAGGGTCAAAGTTACTTAGTCCTACATGCCCTAGTGCAGTAATGATGAGAGGCAAGTAGTAAAGTTTATGCCACTTGGTGAGCCTACATTCATTAACAACACAAAGCCATACTCACATGTAAACTGGGAAATCTCATTCATGAGTAGAACTCGCAGATTTTGAGAAGACATTTATGCTAGGGCCAGACTCTCTGATACTATCTGCCAATAGGCAGGTCTAGATGTTCATGGGACTGCGAATTTCGAGTCCAATTATGCTGATAACCTCCCTGTCAGAATTAAATTATCTAGGCCATTCCACCTAGCCCACAAGGTATATAGATTCACTCTCCCAACTGGTAGAAGTGTTACTTGTTTTGGTTGTGAAGTCGCTTCATGGGATATGCCTCATCTCAGAAAGGCTAGATAGCAAGCTTGTATTCGATAAGTCTATAATATTTGAATATCCAAGCATTTCTTTTTCCAAAAAGCCTACAGAAAGGAAGGGTTAGGGTTAGGGTTTGGGTTAGGGTTTGGGTTAGGGTTAGGGTTTAGGGTTAAGGGTTTAGGGTTAGGGTTAGGGTTAGGGTTTAGG